GCAAGCTGCTGTCGAAGCACTTAATAGTGAATTAGAAATGTTGAAAAATAATCTTGCTCAACTGAACAATGAAGTCAACCAGTTGGAAGAACAAGTACGAGCAGCTGAGACTGAACTCAATCAAGCAAGGTCAGTGTTTACATCATGTATATGATCTTGTTGTTTCACACAAGAAAGTCATCCTGCACTAAAGTGTCATCTTGGTAAAATAGCTCGATCTATTTGTAAATGATGAATGTGACTATAGTTTGTGATTTACTTCATAACCGATGTGATGTTCTTGTAGAGAAATGGTGCAACGAACAGAGTTGGAACTGGAACGGGCACGAGCTGAGCTGACTAATCTGACGGAACAACTTCATGCTAAAAAAGCTGAACTAACACAAGGAGAACAAGAGAAAATGCAACTTCAAGCAACACTTGCTCAGAAACAGCAAGAACTTCAACGCGCTACGGAGAAAGAGAACCAGCTTGAGCAAGCTGTAACTCAAGCTAAAAGCAAGCTTGATGAAGCCACGACATTGCTCAATCAAAATACAGAAACATTGCGTGCAGAAGAGCAAACCGAACTACAGACGCAAAAGGCAGTTGAAGATCAAGAAAAACTCGTTAATGGAGCGCGAAACAAGGCAAATGAGTAGGATCAAAAAGAGACTGTAGCCAAGCGAGAATTGGACAACGCGAAGCGTGAGGAAGAACAAGTAAAGACAAAGGTACGGGAAGCCGAAAAGGCCTTAGACCAAGCCAGAGATAGCCTAAAGGGGGCCAGCTTTTCATGTCATATGTATGCAACAATGAGTGGTTCAGCATCGAGAATGCGGGCTGAGAATCATGTTGATGCCTGTAAAGAGGCTTTGAGAAATGCAGAATCAAATTTGAAAAAAGCGACCAAAAAACGTGAAGGGGTGGCATCTTCGCATCAGACGGCAGTCGAACAAAAGCGTCAGGCGCATGAAAATCTTCGTGAACAGAAACATACGCTGGCGTCTAAACAAATAGAATGGAAACGCCAAATTGCAGTCAAGAATACAGCTCAACGACAACTGGATCGGCAAAAAGCAATTATGGAAAAAGCTACCGCGGATCATATCCAAGTTGAACATCAATTAGCTGAAGCCAAAGAGCAAAAAACAACGAAAACAAACGAACTTCATGGTGCGGAAGCTCAAGTTCAAAAACAAACCGAACACGTAGCACAACTGACAAGAGAAGCATCAGAATTAGAGAAAAATCAGGCACAAGCTCAACAAACACTTACTACCACAGAGAACACTTTGAGAGATGCTCAAGCCAAACATCAGACAGCAGAAG